CAGAAAGTCACATTTTTTTTCCTTGCACAATAAGATTTCAGGAAGAACAAAAGAAAATTATGGATTAAAATACAAATTCTTCTGAAAAAATGCAAAGCAATATGATCAAGCAACCATATAGTAAACACATACATTTACTGATGTGCCCATGGTCTAAAATTGAATGACAATATGCTAACTCTCACTTCATGTCTTTCAACAGAGATCTCTTACTGTCTCACATTGACATGGAAAAGATCAACATAGTAACTCTTCCTTTGAAATTGCCCTATTTTATTTTCACCTGCAGAAGCTCCTTGGCAGATCCTCGTCTATCCACATCCATCTCAAGACAGCGATTTAAGAAGTCACGGAATACAGCTGACAGTCTCTCGGGATTCTGGAGTTCTGGTGTTCCATTAGTGGCTATCAGATATAAGGCCTATAAAGAAAAAAATATTCGAATCTATTCAGCATGTACATAGTAAAATCATGGGTACAAGTAAACTTCCTTCTTATTTATACTATAGGTCTTTAAAGGTCCTTTTTAGAGAATAACATGGGCATGGTTTCTGTTGGAAGGTAAGACTGAGCATAGGTTGTATTGATTTATAGCTTAAGAGCTTACTATGAACCTGGTTGGTTATTGATCTGATTCTCCTTCACAAACAGTACTAGTTGTTATTGTTGTAGTAGAAGTTCATCACGCTGATGCACCTTAAGAACTATTGCTAGACTATGAAAGAAGACATAAGAGATAAAAATAATGTCCTTTCTAGAAAATTTATGAAACTGAAGGAGATAAAATAAGCCAGACCCAGAGGGACAACTATCATATTTTCTTTCATAAATGAAAACTAGATTTCCTATGACATGAAAATAGAAGAGGAACTATTGAGGAAAAGGAAGTGGATGAGTAATGAGGGTCAGGCTAGATGAATGGGGGTCAGAATTATCCAAGGACACGCTAGCACATGAATCAAAATGCTTTTCTGAAAGCTATCACTCTGTATAATGAACATGCCCTATAAAATTGCAAAGATTAAGAAAAAAGTGAAGACAAACCAACTTGTTAAAAGTAGCTCTCTCTGGCATTCTAATTACTGACAACTTGATTTCAAAAATGTATTAGAGTATATTTTTCAACTTTCAAACTTTTCTACAATGGACACAATACTGATTATTATTATTATTACTATTATTATTATTATTGTTATTAACCCCCTACCCAGAAACATTACTTATAATGTATTTAAAAGATGTGACATCCAATCCTCATCTAGTGTACTTTGGCCTCTTAGGATTAAATGTGCTTTTCATCAAACACTGCCCTTGGAGGAAAACAAAAACCTCATACTATTTCTTTTTCAATTATCGTTTTTCATTTTATTTGCAATAGTATTATTTCTACCTAATTTCCACTGCAAAATACCACACATTCAGTTATGTTATGGACTAAACTGGCCAGGGAACCTAACCACTATGTATAAGGCTGTTTCTATGGGAAAATGCATTTGAGGTTCCAAACAATTAACTTAAAAATGAACTTTTGGAACACATCCCGTGTGTAAGCTGGGGGCTGTCTTCAAAGAAGAAAAAAAGAAAATTGCTACCCACTGCCTTGTTAATGAGATACAAATACAGTTGTAGCCAACACAACAATGACAACAAAGATTTTACCAGGAAAACCAAGTCTTAGATGAAGAAGACTGGGGAAAATAAATCTTGGCATGAGTGATCATATGCCACTTTTAGACAGTAACTGGATATTCAAGGAAAATGAGCTGACTATTAGAAACCAGACTAGAGACTTTGTGGCTAATTAGTTGCTTCTAGTGTAAGCAAGAAAGCACAGGGTCATTCCTGGGTTCTTCTGCCTCACACCACCAACCTCACAACTTTCAACGGTGCTTCTATTAGGTTCTACCAATGCAACATTTAGCTATGGCTTTCACAGTCATCCACTTCCTTCTATCACCATCATCTTTGCCTAAGATCAGGACTTCTCTCAGACAGCTTTAGTACTGTCCTCATGTTCCTTATTCAGACCTTTTTGTTCTTAAGCCCACCCCCTTCAACAATTATATCTCCTCACATGTTTCAACTTGTTACTCATTCATCTGCTTAAATCTTTTAGTGGCCACCTATTGTCCAAAGATATGGGTTTCGAATAGTGTTGCCCCAGATTCCTTCCCAAGAGAATTTGAGAGAGAAAGGAGAAGGTGGAGAGAATAGAAATTTTAGGATCCTATGTTTACATGTATGATGATTCAGCCAAATGTGTTTTGCTTTTCTTCCTATTTATCATTCCAAACAACTCTTCATTGGAAACAGAGGATCAATATACTTGTTTCCAAACCACTGCTCGGCAAGGAACAGTAAGTATAGGCATGGCATAAGGTATGACTTGCTTTCTTCTTCCTTTGTCAGCTTCCCTCTGTTCTATTCTCACACTGGAGACTTTCTCTTTCCTCTCCCACCCATACACGCTAGCCAAAGCTCATGTGTTAGTCACAAACATTTGTTGTTTAATCCTGAATAGAAAATAACTCTCAGTATCCTTGCCTGCTTTCTTCATCTCCTTCTAGTATATGGGTATATGGGTACTAACACAAATGTTATCTCCTCTTCAGTCTTTAGCACTCTCTCAGGTAGAAGCAGTATCCAACCACTCCAGTTTTCAGAAAATTGCTTTGTGTTTTAGCATCGCAAATCTTGGGTCCTTCAATCTGAAGTAATCAGGATAGTTGCCCTTCTCCTCTTTTGAGCTTCCAGAGTCCATAAGTCTATTTTTACAATGAATTTGGTTGTACTTTTTATTAACAGACAGATCTGTCATTCCTCCTGGACTATGAGCCCAAGGAAAACAGAAACTATATACACCATCCATGTTCATCTCTGAATTTTATAGTCATTTTTGATGAAAATAGATATTTTAAAGGATGTACTGTTATATAATAAAAGCCAAAGTTTTTTTTTAATTTATTTGCTCTGGGAATATAACAAATTGAGACAAAATATTAAAGTTAAGAACATAAAGTACTTTGTTAAATTATAAGAAGATAAGCAAAGAATGAAAAACACAATTTTTGACTTGACAAAGCCTGACATGTGATCATGTTGACTATCACTACTCCCTAGGGGAGAAATAAGAAAGTTCTATGAGTAATGCATACAAGGACATACTATCAAAGGGATGGATATCTGGATTAGGCTAAGCATAATGCTTTTGATTTAGACAAACGCAGAGATGAAAGGGAGATAAAAAGTATTCCCAGGAACTTGAAAAAATTGTGTCGAGAAACTTCACAGTTTCAAAAAATTGTCTTCCCTTCCTGGCACTGAACAGGGAAATTCCTCATACTAGAGCATATTAGATCTTTAAATAGGCTATATTTTTCCTAAGGTGAGGCAAACTAGGGACATGAATTATATACTGCATTTATATTAGAAATATAATTGGTAAAATTAAAATGGTAGCTTTTTCACTGTATAAACATAACTAAAATTTTGTAGTATTGTGGACATACCTATGATAATTATATCTTTATAGTTCAATAACATACAACCATTGAAGTTTTCACTACCCCTAGTGTGCAACTGAATTTACCCAAGTACTAAGAGAAAACCAGTGTATCTAATTGGAGGAATAATTGAATTTACCTTATTGGCAATTTCCTCAGTTGAGATAGATCAAAGCCCTCACTGTGGACGTTACCACATTTCTCCAAAGAAGTCTCAAGACAATCCATATGTAACCCATAAATTTCCATTAAGTCAATGCTGAAATAGGACTATTTAATTAAAAAGCTTTAGTTTGTGACTTCAATTCATTACAGCAGTTTATAAAGTTTACATTGCCATTGAAAAACAAACCAGGAGACTTTCATGGAAATATGCTTACAAGTATAAGAAATCTCAGCACCAATATAATGAAACATTTTACAAAGAGGATAGGGTGTGGTTGAGAAACCTTTTGGAAGATGAGCATTTGGGATTCATTGTCCATTTTCCCATGGAAATTATGTTATACATATTGAGTGGGTTCCCAAACAAGTCTATAAAAAATCTACTGAATGTACAATATCATTGAACAATAAGAGTGAGAAGATTAATTCATCTATATGTCAATTTCAGTATACATATGATCATAGCAAGCATGAATACATAAAATTGATTACTATTAGCTCATAGATCCTCAACTGACAGGCAAAGAAATTGTCCTGTGGGGTTAAAAATAACAACTTGCCCAGTGTCACACTACTAATAATGGAGAAATCAATATTTGAATTCAGGGAATATATATTTAACTGCTCTTAACTGCTGCCATGACACCTTCTCTCGCCTTTTTCAGTCTCTGAGAAGAGACAGACAAGGGAAATCAAGAAATGAGGCATACTTCACTCTGTTTTTCCCCGTACACAGGAAATTGGTCCTTCTGTGGTCAATCACTATCTTCTAGTTTGGAAATGCAGAACAAACGATAAGTACATAGCTGGAAGAAGAGTGAGGTGTGTGTGTGTGTGTGTGTGTGTGTGTGTGTGTGTGTGTGTGTGTGTGTGTGTGTAAGAGGACAATCTAGGATTTCATTTCTCAAGCACACCATCCATTTGTTCATTTTATTGTCAGAGCCCCTCCCTAAACTTGAACATGCCAAGTAACTCTTTCTATTCAGTGCTTTATGAGCAAGATTTGGAAATGGGTAAGTTGGGTAAGTTGCCATGCTATGATTTAGTTTACTCATGACCTGGGATTTAAGAGGTTAAATGCCAGAGCATATTGCCACTTTGGTGTATTTATGGATTTTGTGAGAGACTCTGACATTCCTTGTTTTTCCAAAAGGGTTAGTAGAATCCAGCCTGCAAAAAGAAACCACTATATATACACACTACTGTATGTCATACTTTGTTTCATCTTCACACTACAGTGTGATACAGCATTGTAGTCTAATTTACATCTATATTGTCTTACATACAAATTCTCACCTGTCCCCCAATTATGAGGGGCTGTTGTTTTGCTGCTTAATCCTTAAGGAGCCATTTAAAATGAATTTAGGGATCTAGCCCCTTACAGGTTGATAATAAAAGATAATTAGGTAGTATTGACTGATTAGGTGCCAGACTAGCTTTGGAATACTTTTTTTTTTTCCAAGCAGAAAGCATTGGTCAATGCCATAAAATAAATACCAGATGACTTTGACAGCCCATGTGCTCATTTGAATCTCTTGTTAAGAAACACATTGCAGGCAACTTGCACTCATGAGGCGACACTACATGACCTTAGCAATACTCAAGTTTTGGAACTACAGGGCATTTGAAAGCGGGAGTTAGGATAGCAATACAGATTTTAAAAGAAGAGGAGGAAAGGAGAATGGCTCAGGAAGTTAAGGAGTGTGAGAAGCTGTGAGAACTAGAGGGAACAGAAGAAAGAAAGGCAAGGGCA